ACACGCCGTGAACTCGATATGGACAAGAAAAGGGAAGCGAACAACATCGTTGCCCTATAACGTGACCAACTCGCATCTTTACACTCTCGATCGTTACGAACATCATGTCCACTCTTTTGAACTAGCATCATTCTACAAGCCTATTTACAAATTATGACCACATTCCTATCTTGACAGATAAAAAGATGGAATGTCTTGTTACAGAAATGCGGAATTGAACCTCGAATCTGATTCAAACGTCTCACCTGGGCTCGTATCGCCATAAATTGGACCCGCACAATCTCCCTAGATGTCTATTTACCCACCAATTTCCTAATTATCTGGCGAAGGAAGGAATCAAATCCCTTGTACTGTTTATTGTGTTCTGTTCGACCACAAAAAAGGCTCGGGTTTTTTGCCTGTAAATATATATTAGCTAGCGTGCTCTAGTTGTTGGAAATATGCATTTTTGTCCATATATTGTTTACAGTCCGCGTGAGTATAAGATGAAGAGTGTAAACACGTTCTAGTGGTGGCGGAGATAGGCCTGGCAATACGGCGAGAATTGACCGAGATGGCCACGCTGAATTTTGACCTCCCCCACGGACAGGGCTACTTCTTTGCTGGTAACAAATCTAACCTTTTCACGAACCGAGAGAAATATTCTTATACTTTTAGCAGGTAGCAAAACCCTAAAAGTGTTCGACGGATCACAGTGCCAAAAAAAGCTCAGTTTTCGACAAAGCGAATAACCTCGAATCCCAACCTCTGTATACACGCTCTATAGGATGGCTAGCAAAACCTTGAATGATACAGAACTCTTTGAGCATTCTGGTGCTCTCAAAGGCAAAGTTGTTTTGATCACTGGAGCTAGTAATGGCATTGGACAAGTGCGTGTTTACCCCAGCCAATTCACGTGTGAGTATTGACGAGTCTCATGTTACAGGCCGCCGCTATTGCTTTTGCTTCATACGGAGCAAGGGTAATTATTGGAGATATTGATGTAGCAAGTGGCAAACACACAATTCGGGAATGTCTCCGGGCTGGTGGAACCATCGGAGCGTGAGTTGGTCTCAATGTGAAACCAGCGGACGGGATACTTATACTTCACGTTATTCTAGAGATGCTATGGTGTTGAAGTGTGATGTTACTTCTTGGGAAGACCAAACCGCTCTCTTCGCAGCAGGGTATGAAAAGTATGGAAGAATCGACTACGTTGTCCCAAATGCTGGTATGGATTTGGATTCCGCGCTTTATTCATTTCATTAATCAAGTTTACGAATAGGCATTGGCCAAGGCGGAGACGGCTACTTGGCACTTACTGGACTCGAGAGGAAAGGACTCACCAAACCCGACACCAAGGTCGTCGATGTCAATCTCACCGGTGTTATTTATACTGTTAGACTCGCCCAGCATTACTTGATGAAAAAGAAGAGCCCCGACCCAAAGGCAATTGTCTTCATCGGTTCGATGTGTGAGTCTAGACTTCAACTATCGTGTTGATATAACTCACAAATTCCCTTTATAGCCTCACTTACAGGTACAGGATAGAATTACTTCGGTGTCTATCTCGCCTCTTACCCTCATTCTTTAGGTCTACCACGAGGCGAAATTTACTCTGCTACAAAGCACGCGGTGAGCCCTCATGTCACGTGGGTCTGAATTATGTATTGAAAAGAACTAGGTATGGGGATTAGCGCGCTCCCTGAGGGATGATTTCGTCCGACACAAAATCCGGGTAGCAACTGTCTGCCCTTGGTTCACTGAAACTCAGATTCTCCAGACTGCGACAAAAGTGCTTTTAGCTGGTGTTCCTATGACACCGATTGACCGAGTTGCCGGTGCGA